AAAATCTTGACCCTTTAGCTCAGTGTCTTAATATTGGAAATTTTGTTTTGTTTTACTTTGTGTTTTTGCATTTTTAAAATTCTATTACAACTTTTGTTAAACAGTTAAATGAATGCAATTTCATTATATAGCATATCCTGCAATGGTGTCAATAGCATCTTAATGAAAGGCTCTGAAATTTCACTGACTGGATTATAGTAATTTTGTGAATAATTATTTCACGTACTCTGTAGTTGCCATATCCAAATTTATCTGTGTAAATGATTTCAAAGGATTTTAACCTCATCAGAAGAAAAGTTAAATTTAACCCAGAATCGACCCTCTGGTAAATTGTTGAGGTCCACCCCTTATAACAGGAGCCTACCTGGGTGAGTTTTGTGAACATGGGTAATTTATGGTATTGTTGGCATAGGATTGAAGTGTTCCTGTGTGAAGACAGAAGGTAATTTCTGGAAACTATCATTCACATACTAATTATAGGCCTAACTGGGGCTTTTCAGTTGTAAAGTAGCTGGTGAACTAACCCAACATCCTGGACAACTGTGTCTATCCAGCAGGCTATGGAAACTACTTTAAAAGACAGTTTGAAAAAAAAAAAAAAAAGACAGTGAAAAACCAATTAATATAGCCAGTGTTTAGTTCTTTAATGCAGACAGTCTTTTTTAACTGCACAACAAAATTTTGTGGTTGTGTATTCCACAGCTCCCTGCAAAAGCTTGATTTCCTTCTTCCCTCAGCAAAATCCTATTCGATGTGTTGGGAAGTCCTTAAACTATGAGACTTCATAAAATTAAAATCAGTAACTCTAATTAAAAAAAAAAAAAAATCCAACTGAACTGGTTTGGAAAAATAAGTTCCTGGCATATATGTTTCTCTGCTTTTTCTTTCCTAGATGCTTTAACTGGGAACTTTCGTGGACTTTTACAGGTCTCGGGGCAATCTAGCCCCTCTGACTAACACAGCCGTGTAGTTGGGTTTCTATGCAGACTCTCTCTCAACTCCAATGCTTCTCTTGTTAGAAGAGAATTAAAATTGTATGCTCTGAGCCAAGTTTGCTCAGTTACCTTTTAGGATCTGCTGCTACCCGTCATTATGTTGTTTTGAGGGAGTAGATAATTTTTTTTGAGAGGGAGAAAGATGAAAACAAACAAGAGATTCTATTGCCTTTCAACAATGTTGAGTTTTCTGAAACAGGAAATTGGAGCAGTAAATGCCCTGATAATCTCAGGGATGATTATTCAGTTCGAGTGGTAGTGCATCTCCCTTGCATGTTTTGCTTCTTTGCCTTTCATTTCCAGGGCTTTAGGATATTTTATTGTTTATTAGAACCACCACCCAGTCATGTGCAGAGGAAGAGAAAACTAATTCAGTCCAGTCTGCTTTTAAAACAGGAACAACCGTCCTGTTCTGACTGGGGAGAATAAATAGGTTGAAATTGACAGTGAATCCAGAAACGAGGTAACAGATCTGAGAGTGCCCACCACAGGGGTGGCACAGAATAGGAATTTAGTAAGTGGAGTTTCATAACCTGCACAGCTGTTTTCTACCACCCTTGACCACTGGTTCTCGGCTAGAGGAAATTTTGCTCCTCCCCCGCCCCCCGCCCCCAGATTTTGCAATATCTGGAGGAAAGACATTATTGATTGTCATGACTTGTGTATGATATTGGTATCTAGTGGGCAGAGACCACAGTGCTTAAACTTCCTACAGTGCATAAGGGTGTCTCCCACAACAAAGAATTATCTGGCCCAAAATATCAATAGTGCTGAGGTTGGAAGACCCTGCTATAGACAAATGAGCATGTATGATGTCTACTTTTAGAATGATAAAAAGTAAGTTAAGCAATAATGTTGATGCTTACTTGACTATACTTAAAATTATTTGTTTGCAGGTATGTGTATATAGCTCTCCATTCCCTGCCTATTTGTATTTCCAAAGTTAGTCTAGGTAAGTTTCTTCAACAATGAATATTCTCTATCAAAATAAAAGTGATAAACTATCACCAGTACCTAAAAACTGGAACCTTTAGTACACTGAAACAAATCGATTTACACAAATTTAATTTGCCCCTAACTTTTAAGAGATTTGCATAAAATCAGGAATACCCATGTACGGTTTATCATTTTACTTTGTCCCTCTTCCTCTCCCCTCTCAAATAGATATTAATATACATTCAAGTTGCCTAAGATTTTCCCCCCCAGTCTTTAAAGATACCCCACTTTTTTGAAATATGACCTAAAATGAAGTAAACATTTTTTTTAAAAAAAAAAGATCTATAAATAAACAAGAGGATAACCCTCAAGAATTTAGACTGGCCAATTCCATCCTTGTCACATTCTTTACTGGACCCAGGGACAGAGTTCTTAAGAACAGACCAAGATGTTTGCCTTTCCCTTTGTCCTGTGTCAACCAGGCCTCATCATCAGCTTGCTCTGTCACCAGCTACCCTAAAGTAACCTCTCCACCTCAAGTAGCCCTCACAATGTAAGATGGTGTAACAAGCATAGGAGCCGACATTATCAGCATTATGAATAGCAGGGTAGAAAATCCCATGTGTTAGATTAAACAAACTGATCTTTTTGTGATTCTTTTGTGTGCTGGAATGCTGATAGACACCTGCCAAATAGATTCGAGGTTTGAGGCCAACAGTTTGAATCTAGTCTGTAGCTGACTGACTGTGTGGATCTTTTATCAGACAGACATCATGTGGTCTGACTAGTACTCTACATGTAGAAAGAGTTCTAAGACAGGAACAACGTAGTGGCTAACAGTTTCTGGAACATCTTTAACATTTCACATAACCCACTGTGGCAGTTCACAGATTGTTTGGAATGTCCAAAAGGAGCCAGGAAGTTCTATCCAATGAAACTTTCTGCATCGAGAAAATGCTATTGTATCAGCTGTGTCCATTCCAGTTGGCCACTAGCTCTATGTGGCTACTGAGCACTTGAAATGAGACTAGTGTGACTGAAGAAATGAATATTTAATTTTAAGTTCAATAGCCACATGTCCTAGTGGCTATCATAATAAACAATGCCAATCTAGAAAACACAAACTCATTATCTTACATATTAATTATAGATATCCTGATTCCTCTTTCTTTTTAAAAAAAATTATAAATATAACAAAATTATAGACTGTATAGAAAACAAAAGGAAATTCTCTTCAATACCCCTAATTTCATGAGCCTAACATAATTGTTATAAATTTGGCAAATTTTCAAGGTGTTTTAAAATGTACTTTTAGATGAAATAGATATAATTTTATCTTATTTTATTTTATTACAACCAGCTTTTTTTTCACTTAACATTATGAGAGGAATATCTTTCTGCACTACTAAATAATATTTACAAGCTATCAGAGCTAATGACTGCCTATTTCTTACATTGTGGTAACACAGTTTATTTATTTCCTCTATTTTTGGAGTTGTTTCATTTGTTTAGTTTTATGGTCATTACAAAATAATACTGTAAAAAATATATGAAATGTTAATGTTTCTTCTCTTTAGAATACATTTACACTCCAAATGTCTGAGTCTTAGTCAGATAATGATTTACATGGTGAATCATTTCACTACCACATATATAACAATAAAAATTGCTAATAAAATATAACTGCGTTCAGGGCTGATGGCACAGACCTTTGCTTTGCAAATGAGAAATATGTTCCCAGTCATAAATTCTTCAAGTAAAATATTTTACATGGTCAGATAATTTCTAGAATCTACAATCTCTAAAGATGAAAAAATTAACAGAGATTAAAAGAAACAACACATTTTGTTCCTTGTAAATTTATATAGTTATACATTGTTACATAAACTATCCTTTTTATAATTTCAAGCAATATGAATATAATCCAATATAAATATTATACATCTTACAATTAATAATTATGCTGAAGATCTTGGCTTAAGACATTTTATATTTGCATACTGGTAAACTGTCACATGATTCTAAAATTCCTTTTTAAATAAATTTTATATTCTGATGGCTCTGATCATCAAAGAACAAAGGGATCCTCGTAATAACACAAATTGAAGATATAGCATAATGAGTATTAGAACCCAAAAAATGAAATGTTTTCATTATTTATAATTTGGGTTTTAGTTTTTGTTACATCTTCCTTTGTCTTTATTTAATATTTGTATTTGAGAGATTGAACATAGACGGAATGACCTTGTACTAATTAAACAGATCATACACATGAAGCAGCTTTGTAAACCACAAAGTACAGTGAAAATCTAATATGTTTTAAAAGTGCTCTTTGCTCATTTTATATATGAAAAGTAGACTTTAAAATTGCCTAATGGATAGAAGTCGAAGACTTTTCTCTCTCTCTTACACATGAATTTAGTAATTTATGGTATGGGTTTGTTTTTCCTTCACATACAACAGTAAAAAAAAAAAAAGGTCTGATAAAATAACTGCGTTTGGGACTTTTCTTAGTGATACCATCTCAAGGACATAGTTTTGTTTTTTTTTTGAAATGGGACATAAGTCCCCAGAAGGTAAATCACTGGGACTTTGTTCATAATATGAATGAAGCACAGTGCCAGAAAGTCATTTCCAAAAAATCAATAGTGTTTGTACTGGAAATGTTTGTAAAAATGCTTGGAATACCATTAACTCTTTGCACCATGCACTTTGGGGGTTATCTGGAGAAAATATTTAAAACCTGATGGGTTTTCCTTTGCTACCCAGGTAACCCCTTTCTTTCTTTCTTCTCTCGATTCTTTAAAGAACACAAACTAATTCACCATTGATATACACAATATATCATTATAAGCTTAACTCTGCTTTAAAAAATAAAAGATGTAATTCCAAGGTCGTATATAAATGGTTACTCATTACTGATACCATTGTAATCTGTTGTTCACATGGACAATGAAGAGGTATCCATCATTTGTTTATATACACCTATCGTGCTAAGTAAATCCCAGGTTGTAAGAGCTTCCCATTTTCAGTTAACAGAACTCATAGTTTTAGTTTTCTGAATTGCAGGTGGTTTTCATGAGCCTGTGCAAAAGTTTTTGGGACTGTGGACTTGTAGCCCTGGATGACATTACAGTGGAATTGGGAAGCTGCTCGTCTCCAGGTAAGACGGCCATTATTTCATCTCTCTTTGGTTCCCTGGCCTATACATGACATTTACCATTTCTATAGAACATACTATACACATTTAATCTGTGCTAGTCTACCCTTTGGTTTTCTTGCCAGAAGTGCCTTTCAACAAAGCTGTGTAGTAGGCCTTGGAATTTAGAAATAACTCAAATTCAGTGTGTGATTTTGTACATATAACTTGACCCCTATATCCTCATCTATAAGAGAGGTAGTAATGCCTACCTAAATATTGGGGATAATACATAAAAATTTCCTAGCATAGGAACTAGCACAAAATAGTGCTTTTAAAATAAATACTTCTTATCATAATTACTATTGCTATTTTTATTGTTATCTTACATGAATGCAGATTTTAAAGCAATATTGATGAAAATGTTATTACACAGATACTTTACTAAACATATAATTTTAAAATGATAATAAAATAAATAATTGCTAAGTGAATTAAATGGCAATGGGACTGTGGGCCAAGCATTGATGATAGTGATAAAATAAACATGGTGGCTATGTGTTGGACATTCCATGCAATGAGAAAATGGTGGATACCTCAACACAGATCATTGCTCTGTATCTACTAATTACCACTGTTTCCTAAATCATGGGATATCCATTTCTTTAATAAACTTGCAAATTGTGGTAGCATTCTGCCACTAGAGAATGATATCCATGTTTGTTTAATTAAAGGCAATTTGTTTTTAGTCCCTTGATTTGTAAGTTACTGTGAGGACAAAACAAAGAACAAGATAAAAATCTCTACACTCAAGGTGTAGAAAAAGGAATGAAGCTTCATTAGCTTGTACTGTATGTAAAATAAAATGAAGTAAAATAATTATCATGCAAGATATAAAACACAGCCTATTTATTAGAGAAATTTGCTCAGAATCTGGATGTAGGAGGTACAACTAAGTTCAACCAAAGGAGAAGTCTCCAGTAAGTTGGGAGGTGGCACCATTCTAATAATAATAATTATTAAAGTTATTGAAGATAGCATCCAAAGACATAAAACTTGGTTTTGGAAATGGAAAATACAGCTCCACGTAGCATAACACCAACCAAGTTTTAATATTTATTAGCTTATATTTATTGAGAACTTCATAATACTTTAATGTTCTAAATACTTTGCATACATCATCTCATTTAATCCTCACAACCCCATGAGGTGGATATCATTAATATCCCCACATTATAGATAAAAATGCCAATGCACAGAAAAAATGAGTAATCTGCTCCATACAAATTAAGCTATGTCTCCAGATGCACATTTAGTTCTCTCTCATTTTTCCCCTCCTGCAGAGGAGTTGTTCTGAGGACTCCCTTCACTTTTCTTGGATTTCTGAAGAAAGCTCCTGCATTATGCATTTGATTATTTCCCATATTTCCACAAAGGCAGTAACTGCCAAGTTTTAGAGCTTTGTGAGCTCATTCACATAAATAAATTCACAAGTTAGATAGCATTTCTTTCTCAAAGTATCCCAATGCTTTTAGATCTAGATTTCAGGTTGTTTCCTGCCCCTATGGCAGGACCCATGGTGGAGTCCAGAGCTTGGTGTCAGTAGGCTGCCATTTGTGGAGCTGCCTCTCCATACACATGGCATACGGCCAGACGACACTCATACATGCAGAGTGGGCTGTCAGCAAGCCATGGAAAGTGCCTCAGTGATGCAACACTTGCTTTTCCTTGCAGAGAAACTTCGACCTACCCCTGGAGAGTGTAATTTTGAACAAGATGAATGTGCATTTACTCAGGAGAAAAGAAACCGGAGCAGCTGGCACAGGAGAAGGGGAGAAACTCCCACCTCCTACACAGGGCCAAAGGGAGATCACACTACTGGGGTAGGTGAGTTACGCCACATGGTGCTGTTTCCTAAGGAAGCCTGAAATAGCATTCTAGGGGGAGTTCCTGTGTTTTGAAATGTGCGAGTTTATGTCTTATGTCTAGAATGTACTACACATGTGATTCTATACACATGGGATAGATAGTTCAATATGTGCATTTAAATTCCATTTACTATGATGCTTATGTATCTTGCTGTAAAGAGGATTTATTTAAAAGGGCTTACAAAGATATGCACACAAAGATAATTTAATTAGAGGTAGGCTTAAAAAAAGAGAGAGTGACAAAAGTAAAAAAGAAAAATGGTGATCTAAACTGGAGCCAAGGCTGAGGCCTAGTAGAAAAAATGTACTTGCAGAGAGAGGAGGAGACTTGCACGTTTGACTCCATACTTTCTAGCAGCTAGAAAAGGATGGAAAACTCATCTGTTCATACCTTTAATGATTTCAATTCTTTGCAATTTGTTGAGATGCTTTATCACCCAGCACACACCCAGTGTATTAGAAAATAATGTATATTTTGTTGCTGTTGTTGGATGTAGTAGTCTATATATATGTATATCGAATTGAGCTTGTAATCGTGTTCATTTTTTCTATATTTTTACTGATTTTTTATCTGTTCAGTTGAGAAGTATATTAGTTTTCCATTATGCTTGTGAATTTGTTTGTTTCCCCTTTTAGTTCCATCAATTCTTGCTCATATATACTATTTTGGACCTACGTTATTAGGCATATACACATTTATAATCATTATACCTTCCTGGTGAATAAGCCATTTTATCATTACAAAATGTCCACCTTTATCTCTAGTAATGTTTCTTATTTTAAAGTTTATTTTGCCTGATATTAGTATTACTTCACCAGCTCTAGGTTTATTAGTGTTTATGTTTCTCCATCCTTTAACTTTCAAATTTTCTGTATACTTTTTTTTTAGTGTGGCTCTTGTATGTGGCAATAGTTGAGTTTTATATTTTAGCCAGCCCCACAATTTTGTCTTTTAATCGTAGTGTTTGGATCATTATTATTTAATTACAGATATATTTAGATTTATATTTACTTCCTTAGTATTCTATTTCTCCCTCTATTCTCATGTTTATTTTTTACATTATTTTACTAAACTTATTCTTTTAATGGTTACTATACTCTTCGTCTTGCATTTTATTTCTATATATTTTTTAAACCCCAGAAAATGACTGGATCGGTATTCTTTTATATTTATTCACTTTTTCCCCCATTTCATTGGTCTTCATTCCATTCTGTATTTCCATGTTTCTCCTTTGAATTATTTATTTTTTTTTGTAAGAAATGCTTTTCTTTTGCCAGAAGTATTCAGTATTTAGTTCTTTTATTTTTTATTTTGTTCTAATGTTGGTTTAGTGGCTTTTTTGTGTCTGTGTGGTGCAAGTCTGCTGATGACAAATTCTCTCAGGTTTTCTTTGTTTGAGAATGTCTCTATTTTTCGTCTACATTTGAAGGATATTTTTGCTGAGAATAGAATTCTAACTTGATCATTAATTTTTTAAATTAATTTTTTAATGATGTCATTCAGTGGTCTTTTGGCTTCCATCATTTCTTTTGAGTCAGTTGTCAGTCATATAGTTGTTGCTTTGAAAGTATACTTTTATTCTCTGGATGCTTTTAAGATATTCTCCTTATGATTGATCTTTAGCATTTTAGAACGATATGCATGTGTGTTGTCTTCTTTATAGTTATTTGGTTTGGGGTTCATTAAACTTCTTTAATCTTCAGGTTGAGGTCTTTTATCGGTTTGAAAAACCTTTGACCTTTATCTTGTCAAATATTGCTTCTGCCCCAATCTATCGCCTCTCTTCCTGAGATTCCAATTACACATACATTAAAAGTTATCACCTTGCATTATATATTCTTATGCTCTTTTATAAATATTTCCAATCCTTTTGCTCTCCATTCTTCAGTTTGTATACTTTCTATTGACCTATTTTTTAAATTTGAAAATCGTTTTTTAGTTGTATTCATTATACTATTAAACTCATTGATTTATTTTTTAATATCAGCAATTCTACTTTTCAGTCCTAGAATTTCCATTTGTTTTTTAAATATTAGTCATAGTAAGATAGAATACATGTGTTATATAATTATTCTTTTAAAGTGTTGATTTGAGTGGTGTTTAGTGTAGTCACAAAGTTGCGCAGCTGTCATCATTATCTAATTCCAGAAATTTTTATCACCTCAAAAAGAAACCCTGTACCCATTAGCAGTCACTCCCATTTTCTCCCCCAACTCTTGCCCCACCATTCCCCATCTCTAGATAATTACTAAACTACTTTGCCTCTATGGATTTGTCTATTCTGGACCTTTAATATAAATGGTATCATACAACATGTGGTCTTTTGTGACTGGCTTCTTTCATTTCTTTTCACTATGTTTTTGGGGTTCATCATGTTGTAGCATGAATCTGTATTTCATTTGGTTTTATTATGATTATGTTCCAATGTATGGATGTACCACATTTTGTTTATCCATTCATCAGCTGATGAAATTTTAGTTGTTTCTACTTTTTGGCTATTATGAATAATGATGCTATGCTATTTGTGTACATGTTTTAGTGTAGCCATATGTTTTTATTTATTTTGGGTAGATACCCAGGAGTAGAATTTTTGGATCATATGGTAACTCTATATTTAACTATTTGTGCAGTTACACCATTTCGCATCCCCACAAGTAGTGTATGAGGGTTCCAATTCCCCCATATACTTTGCCAAAACTTATTTTCTGTTCTTGATTATAGCCATCCTAGTGAGTATGAAATGATATTTCATTGTTTAATGTCTATTTAGTTTGGTATTAGTATAGCCACTCCAGTTCTCTTTTGGGTACTGGGAGAATGGTATATTTTCCCCTCAGTCTTTCATTTCAACCTATTTGTGTCTTCGAATCTAAAGTGTGTCTCTTAGAGACATGATATAATTGGATCCTTTTTTTAAAAACCCATTTTACTAATATCTACTTTTTGATTAGTGTTTAGTCCATTTACATTTGATATAATTACTAATAAGGTAAAATTTATGACTGCCATTTTTCTACTTGTTTTTTGTATGTATTATGTCTTCTTTGTTCCTTTATTCCTACACACTGGCCTCCCATTATGCATATGTTTGTACACTTGATGCTGTCCCACTGGCCTCTGCGGCTCTGTCCATTTTTCTTCATTCTTTTTTCTTTGTTCTCTAGGTTGGATAATCTCAGTTGAACTGCCTTTAAGTTTCCGATTCTTTTTTCTGCCTGTTCCAATCTGCCACTGAGCCTCTCTTGTGAATTTTTCATTTTAGTTATTATACTTTTCAAATCCATAATTTCAAGTTTTTTTTATAATTCCTCTTTTTAATGATATTGTATATTTGGTGATACGTCATTCTCATACTTTAATTCTTCAGACACAGTTTCTTTTAATTATTTGAACAAATGTATAATAATTGACTTAAATTTTTGTATGTTCAGTGTCAGGGCTTCCTTAGAGTCAGTTTCTATTGACTGCTTTTTATCCTGTGTATGGGCCATGGTTTCCTGTTTCTTTGTATGTTTTATAATTTTTGTTAAAAACTAAATATTTTAAATAGTATAATGGGGCAGCTCCCCTTTTACTCCAGGGTTTTCTTTGTTGCTGTTTATTGTTGTTGTTATTGTTGCTATTTGTTTGTTTAGGGACTTTCCTGAACTGATTATGCAGAGTCTGAATTCTTTGTTGTATGTGGCCACTGAAGAATATTCTCAGTTAGCTTAACCACCAACTAATGATTGAACAGAGATTTTTCTTAAATACCTTGACCTAATACGTCTTCCAGCCCTCGCAAAAGATGTTCTGTGTTTGTGTTAGGGAATGTTTTAATGCCCTAACAGGCAATTTACTACTCTCCCTGAGACTTCACTTGTTTCTTGTGCAGAGCCTCAAAGTCAGCCAGAAATGGTAGATTTGGACTTTTTTCAGTTCTCTTCTGGGTGTATGCACACTTCTGCACATGTGTATAGTTTTCTAGATTGCCAAGAATATTTTGGAATTTTGCAAAGCGCCCCAAAGACATCCCATTCCCTAATAGTTTTTCTTTAAAAATTTCTTGTCATTCTTTCGTCAGCTTAATTTTTAACATCACCTAAGGCAGTTGCAATGTTAAACAATTGTTTAACTGATTGTTCTTAACAAATGCCCTGGAGATAAGGCTATTCATGCAGAGTTTACCTGAGTCAGATTAAATAAAGACTAGACTTGAGAATGGAAATTTTCAGTGAGTTTCCAAACAGGTCAGATAATGACAATTTTGGGGGAATGGAGTTTTGGGGAGCTCTGTACTGTTCTGTCCTTTACAGGGGCTATAGGCTACTGCTTTTCACAAATACCTTAGTTGTAAAGCTCTTGGTTTTCAAATCTGTCTTGGATTAGGAGAGCTGAACATAGGATTAGGACAAGTTAAAATCTCATTGTTCTTAGCAAGATTTAGTCATTTTTCTAGAGTAAACTCTTTTATATTATTGCATGGCTTTAGTTAATTTCCAGAGTTCTAAAAGAGTTGATCTGACTGTTTTTCACCAGTGTTCTTGTTGCTTTTATAGAGAAACATATTTCCCAGAGATCCTTATTCTACAATTCCAAATGCTTCACATCTTTCTCTTGATTTCTTTCTTTTAAACAGATTCAAGTTCTTTGGTTAAATTCTCTATCATATCATCTATTTCTTGAACATATTATTAAATCTCATAGTATTAAATTATAAATCATAGTTATTTTACAGTCATTGAGTGATGACTCCATATCTGGATCACCTGTGGTTCTGTTTCTATTGTCTGTCCTTCTCACTCTTTGGCCCTCTTTCTTGAAGTATATAGTATTTTGATTGAATACTGAACATTGTAAGTGAAAAATTATAGAATTCTTAATGATGGTGTTTTTTCCTCCAGGGAGGATTCAACTTATTCTCTTCTTTTTTAATACATATATTTTTATTTTTCAATTACATTTGGCATACAACATTG